TTGTATGCAATACTTGGCTCTCAAATATGCATAGGTTAGATAGATAGTTAGATAGATTGATAGACAGATAGATAGACAGATATTCGAAAATATACCAATAGAACCATGAAAAATTTATATTCCTTTAATAAACAGCTAGACAATACCTCGAAAAATAGATAAATATATTTAAATACAAACTTTATTTTAAACCAGATTGGTAAAGTTGGATTTTTTTAAACATAATTTTTGCTATTCTCTCTCGTCAAGGTCAATTGAACAATTGATCTATTGAAAAATTGAAAAGGAAAAATTTAATTTAATTTTAAACTTAGAAAGTTAATGCACTGAAACTTCGGACATTTTGCATAAAATTTATATTTATAAGATATAAAATTTATCTATACGTTATTTTTAAATGCAAGAGTTCACTAGGATTTATTGATTTGAAAAAACGAAATACGATCAATCTCAAAATCAAGCAATTTTTCTTTAATTTTGTATTTCAACTTAATTTCAGTCTATTCAAACAAAAAGGAGCTTTTTGACAAGATAATTTCTTAGACTACCCGAAGTCCTAAATTTTTTAACGTTAATAATTTATTTTAATTAAATTTTACAATATTTTAAAATTTCAATATGATATTAGATGGAAACATTTCTTTTTTTCATTCTTTCTTCTTGATCGTCCATTCCTTGTCCATCCTTCAATCATACTTTGGCTAATTTTAAAAATAAAAATAAATGAATTTTTTGGATGTTTTCTGCAGCTAGCCAAATTGCAGACCCGTAGTCAAAAATAAAAGCCGACTATAAATTAGAATTTATGAAAGTAATTAACTGTAAAAAAANCTTTTCGAAAAAATTTTAAAAATGAAAGTGCTTTTTAAGGGTTAGAAGTCCAAAAAAAGGATTTTTTTCAGTTGTGGCATCCATTTGGCTGTGTTCAATTCAAATCGATTTTTGTTCTTGTGTTTTTAATACATGAACAATGTGGGTCATTGAATGTGTGCAAGGAGAACAAAAGAAAATTTGTTTAGTACCCCTGGTTTATAATTACAAAATATTTTTACTTGTACTAAACACTATGCAGTCATCCTAGGACCTGGAGACTAGGGTGAGTCCCATTAGATAGTGTGTGTTGGGATGAATGATGTTACATCAGGGTTTGGATCTTATGATCCGACTGAGATATGTGAGGAGTTTATGCAAAATGCTGATGACAGTGAAAGAGATGAAATTTTACCAAAGCATGTTGGAGGTTTCAGGGTTCATCTGCTCCTGGTTATCAAGAATGCTAACCTGGACCCTGTTATGATTAAGAGACTTCCATCAGGGATCAAGAATCATATTTGCTGGACCTCATAAATCATTTTGTAATGTCACTCCCATGTCTAATGCAGTATTCTTCATGAGAAAGAGGATTGAAGAAGATCTCGAGGTAGACCTTGAAGAGAGAAGTTTCTCTATAGTCACCAACAAATTCATTGGAACCACTGTGGAGCTCATCCTATCTCTGAGTGTTATATCATTGACTGCAATGGTTTACTCCCTGACCAATTTGAAAATACTAGGGATGATGATGATCATTTACTAAGGATCATGGATGACTCTGAAATTATGTGTAGTGTTCATAAAGCTAATATTCCTATTGCCAAGTACAGGAATGCTATTGCTGATCCAGAGACTGATTATGGTCCTGGATTTAGATGTGCTGAATGTGCAAAATGTATAACATGCATTATTTTGAGTAAAAGTCAAGCAGGAAGCCAGGGATCAAGAGTTCATTGAGAAGAGTGTGAATGTGGACATTGAGAAAAGGAAGGTTATCGTTAATTATCCATTTTTGAAATAACCAATACAATTTTTATCGCACAGGCATCATGGACAAAGTAATTACGCTCAGGCTGAGCGAGTTTATTGGAGCCATTGTCGAAAAAGTGATTTGGTTAAATAAGGAATGATGAAGGTTTACAAGAATCTAGTGGATAAGGGATTCATGGTCAAGCTGTAGATTATGGAGAAGTATAGGCAAGATCTTGTGATTAATGCTCCCTTCCAAAGCTGATTCTGTCTCTACACTGGTTAAGATGGTTGTGGATCTTACAATGACTGGTTTTAATAATAAACCTGTTGGAAAATGTTCAGTTGACCAGGAGTATGATTGTATTTCAATTTTTCGATCCATGTGGTATTTTTGAACCAATCAAACTAATGATAAAGCTTCAGACTGCAGGATTAAAAGGGAAAGGATGGGATCAGATATTACTGGATTCACTGGATAAAGATCAGAGAGTGTGGAAAGATATATTGAAGGATTACTTTAACCTGCCAGAGATTAATGTTACTATTAGCATTTCAGCTTCTCCCATGGTCAGCTTTAGTGCTAGTACTTTCAACACGTTTGCAAATTATCTTGAAGTCATTAACACAAATTCACAATTTAGACAGCATATATGTTTAAGGGTTTTTAAATGAAAAGCAAAGAAAAATTATTTTTCCTTTTATTAGCCTGAAAAAGCCACATTTTTCACAATTATTTGATGATTTTGGAGAAAATAGTAAAAACCCACAAGGAACATTTAATTAACAAATTAACAAATCTGTTTATTATGATTGTAAGAAAATTTATAGATTTTTTGAAATCTCTATTTCTAAATCTGACCATGAGAATGTTTCCATACTGCAGGTGTACTTCATAAATTTATGCTATATAACCTTTTGGGACCTGGAATATCATTTTATAGAAAATCTAAAATTATATCTATATAGGTATACGTATTTTTAGGTTTACGTAAAATTCGTATATGCTCAACTTTCTGGTTAAGAACTTTCGTATATTTACGTTAGTATGTCCGTACTTATAGTCCGATCAATCTTTAGTGCAAAAGATATTTCACCCTAAAATAGTGGTATGTTAAAAATAGAAAGTTAAATTTTTTTTTAATTATGACATTTACAGGTATTTTTTTATTTAATTTTATATCTTTATTTTTTTTTATTTTTTATTCTTGATCATGCTGTGAATCCGACATTTCTTCTTGATCATGCTGTGAATCCGACATTTGTTCTTTATGATGCTGTGAATCCGACATTCCACTCTAGAAATTGAAACTTTCTCCAGATACTTTTAAATCTGATTTTATTAGTAATTCAAGCTTCCTTCCACGTTGATACATGAATTATATTTTTATTTATTATTTTATCTCGGAAGAAGTTAATTATAAAGAAACATGAAAAGCATTTTAATTTAATTGGCAAATTCTGAAGAAAATCGAATGTGTTTGGACGGATGTCAAACTTTGGCAGAATACTAGGGAAACGTTCCACTAGGATAAGCAATCCGTATCTTCCTATCCTGGATAATTCTATATACATACTTATATGGAGCGCAGAACCATCGTTTACCGCGTTCAAATCTCCGAGAGTTGATATCTCCGCTGGAAACAGATTTCCGTCAGTTAAAGTCGGGAGCTTCAAGGAGTCGGATATCGCCGGGAATGAAATAATCTAGTGAGTTTTATCAATCAATAAGATTAATTGGTAAACTGCGCACAATAAATTAGATCTGACTGAAAAACATTTAAGGATTGGATGTTTCGGGACGGATCAGAAACATAAAATACAAAACTGATTTCTCACCTCAAACTCTTATTTTCTAATATTTAATATTTATATCTGCGACCTAAATATTTTTGATATTTCAAACTTTTACTATTTAACCAACTAGAATTCATTGCTTGAAATATCTAGACTTTTTAGGCAAGTAATCAGTTCCTTAGCATTCAGAAAATACAAGGTTTATAAGTATTCTGTACGTTTTTTTTTACGTTAAAGCAATTGGAGATCAATGTATTACATAGAGCACAATGTAGAACACAATCTACGTATATCTATATATTTTAGGGGCATTTCTGTAAAATCTAGCATTTTACCATTTAGAGTTGTGAACTTCCTATCGAATTTGTTTATGGGTATAGTTGTAAAAGATTATTTATCAAATTTGTTTAATTTAATGATAATTTGCTGATTTTTAAATTTCAATTGAACTTTGAAATATTCTCTCTTTTTTTCGTGTATTTCATCTGCAGTTGTTTAATCTTAATCTTTTGATTTTTTCGTGTCATTTATACACTGTTCTCTCTTTCATTGCATGATAAACAATTTTTTTTTAATCTATTCAATGTCAAAATTGAATTTGAATTTAAAGGGGCGTGGCGTGGGAGAGTTGCACCCCCCCCCTTCTTAGTTTCCCCCTCCCGTCATCTCAGCTGCTAACCCTGAAAATGACAAATAAAATGTTTAAGAAAGAACGGAATCAAGGCTTAAATATATCTAGCTCCAAGTTATCTCAGTTCCTCAGATCATTTCAACTCTACATGATTTTACTCAGGTAAGCTAAACCAGACTATCAGATACAGGGTAAACCAGAATCAAACTTTAATATGAAACGACGTCAAAACTCGAAACGAACTTGGTCGTGCTTTCAGGACATTTTAAACTATTTACAGACGTACCGAACTACGAATTGATTCAAAATCTGCAAGTTTTCTCATCTTTTGTACAGTGTCAGTATCGATCACTATAGTTCAGCTGTTGCATAAAACATATTGGGTCAATCACATACTGGGTAAACTAGACTAGCCGGTACGGTAAAGACTAGAACGGCATCCTTGTACTAGTTCGGATCACGCAATTTTTATGTGCGGTCTAGTTTGTACTTCTAAAAAATGCTTTACCTTCTTTATTGTTTTTTTTTTCAAATCAAAAAAAATAAAATATTGCTTTCTAATGAAATTTCAAAAAGTTTCTTATCATTTTTTTTAAGATTCATTAACTTTAATGTTTTATTTTTCTAAAGTTTTGTGCTTGATAAAATTTTAGTTTACAATGTACCAAGTCTTGAGAATTAGTTTTACATTTTCATTATTTCTTATTTTAGAAACTAAACATTTGAATTTTTGTTAGGTGTTGATGATACCAGAAGGAGGACGGACAAGGATGAAAATATTAATTTCTATTTTTTACGCCTCAGTGATTACATATTCACAAGCTCAGGTTTACTAGAATTTAAATTTTTATTCATAGTTAATTCTATTTGCACAGGCCTACACTTTTAATAATAAACTAGAAATTGCCTCTTTTTTCATTCTTTCTCCCAACAATTTCTCCCCGACGTTTTATATAAAAATATCTATATGACCCCTGGCGTTTTATATAAAAATATCTATATGACCCCTGACGTTTTATATAAAAATATCTATATGACCCCTGGCGTTTTATATAAAAATATCTATATGACCCCTGACGTTTTATATAAAAATATCTATTTGACCCCTGGCGTTTTATATAAAAATATCTATATGACCCCTGACGTTTTATATAAAAATATCTATTAGACCCGTGGCGTTTTATATAAAAATATCTATTTGACCCCTGGCGTTTTATATAAAAACATCTATATGACCCCTGACGTTTTATATAAAAATATCTATTTGACCCCTGACGTTTTATATAAAAATATCTATTTGACCCCTGGCGTTTTATATAAAAATATCTATTTGACCCCTGGCGTTTTATATAAAAGAACAAAATGTTCTTTTAGGTTCTTAAAAAATTAACTGAGTTTTTGCCAAAAGTAAAATTTCTAATTCTTTATAAACTTTGATAATTCAAACTTAGATTTTTTAATTTAACAGAATTCATAGTTTGTTATATTAAAGGTACTGCAGTATACTACGTTGGTTTGCAACGATATAATAATTAGAAAATCAATGTTTGGTAAAAAACTCTTTTTGACTGTATTCTGTTTTTATGTATTATGTTAATCGTAGATGTGTATTTTTCATTTATTTTATGAAATTTTACGCAGTTTTGATAGCGATCATTCTTGACTCTTTTCAAATGCTTTAATTTCGTAGTGAATGTTGATTTTTTTCGGGGAGTTTTTACAGTTATGGTAAAATTAAATCTGAGAGTTTTTACATTAATGGTAAATTTAAATCTGCGAGTTCTTACATTATGGTAAATTTAAATCTGAGAGTTTTCACATTTATGGCAAAGTTAAATCTCAAGAGCTAAAACGTCCAAAAATGATTTATTGATAATGTTTGTTGTTTAATGTCCTCACAGTCTGTACAGTGAACACAGATATATATTGCATTGAAGGCATCATAGCATGACTTATTATGGAAACCGGAAACTGATTTAAATGAATTATTCCGTAGTATTCAACTTCTAATTGATTAATTAATAAGATATTAACAGCTTGAGAATTTTACTGATTGTCATATTAATCATAAATTGAATATAATTTCCCAGACTTGAGAGTGCGTCTCGCCCTTTTTAGCTCAATGTTTATAATAGTTACAGGGTCGTAACTTGCGGGAGGGGGGCACATGAGCGCGTGCCTTCCGCCCCCCCCCCCATCCCCCATTTACCTTGTGTGCATCCTTTACAAACATTCAGTTACGGGCCTGATACAGTCATAAATTCGTTTCATTTTCTTTTCGTACAATAGAAAGAGTTTCCATATTTTTTCAAATTTGATTGAAGAATTTTATAATATCTTTTAAAATTCTTACTGTTTAGAAACTTCCCGGCCTTACAAAAAATTAAGACCCGATCGGTTCAGCCGTGTTGATGTTTATTGAAAACATATTACATATAATAACAAATACTATAAAAGCAATAGAATCTGTTGCGTAAGCAGCTATGGTTGCAGTAGCACTAAAACATTTGCCTTTATGTTAATTATCAGATTAAGTTTAAAAGTAATAGATATAGGTTAATCATTGGAAGTATAAGGACATTTGTTATCTCTTCCTAGATCGCTGAAGCTATTTGGATTGATCAATATTATATTTGGTCTCGACGTTCATTTATATTTTCAAAACAGGGATTTGAGTATTTGCCGCAAACTCAAATTTTCTAATCCAAATATCTTTGCAAGAGTAAATCTTTGACATTAAAAACTTAGGTTCTTAACATCTTTGATCGAACAGAATTTACAGTTTGAAATATCTAAAGACTTCGGCATTAGTTGCAAACATAGGAACTAGCTAATAAGATTTTGTAAAAAAATCAATTACGATTTGGAAATAATTTTTGTTGATTTAGGGTGCTCCTGAGAAGAAGGTTGAATATGGTGGATGGAAACCAATTGACGGATTAGCACTTTGGCCGGTCAACTCAGGTTATCCTGCCCCCGTAGCTGCGCGCCGGCTCGGTAGGCTGGTCAGCTCAGAGAACGAAACTAAGTCATCTCGTACGATTGACTCAGTTAATTCCAAGGTAAGGAAAAGTAAATTTATTTAAAAGTAAATTTTAGTGTTTTTCGTTTTCTAAAAATGTTTTATGAAAACAGCACTGCAAGGCTTGGTAGATTTTCGCACAATGCTTTGAAACCAACACTGGGTTTGCAGAACTTATGCAGTTTTTTTATTATTTGCTTTGTTTGAATTTGAGATATATAATATAATATATATCCTCTTGAGCCGATTTCATAAGGGTGAACAGACACACCCCTATCTGTTATATATGGAAGAAAATGTTCACGTTTTTTAATTCTTTCGAGTGTTGTCATTTAAAATATTCATTTCCAGTGGGACAGTAATCTCCAAAATCGGAATCCAATTTTCATGTTTTTATGAGATCCTTCCTGAATAATGCGTTATATTGGAAATGATTTGTTTTGGAATATTAGGGAGTAATAGTTTTCAAACACCTAAACTAATTAAGAAAATATTAAGTAATAAGTAATACTCACATATAAATTTCAAGGATGTATCGGAAACCCCTAAAGCAGATGATAGAGTGGATGACTATGCGGATGAGTATTCTGGGGATGATGCCCCAGAAGAATATCAAGAGTTCGGAGGTATTTTCATCTGTCTAAAACTTTTCATATTTTTCAGTACGATAATTTTTATTATTTTAATCTTTCCATTTTTCTGTTGTCAAAAAGGGTTCATAGACACATGGTCAAAGGACATAGGGTAAAGCGACAAACGGTCAAAAACGCGACAATGGGGCTGGGGCTAGTAGTTCAAATGAACATAAAAATAACATAAAAATATGTATTATTTCAGGGTTAGGTTAGTTTAAGACACTTTCTGGGCTGAGCGCTGCGGCTAGGACAGGATAGGGTTGCCGAGCGCTGCGGCTACTAGTTCTAATGAACATAAAAATAGCTCAGATTAACCAAAAATAGTCTAAATGAAATTTTCCAGTTTGTCTCACTTTTTAATCCTATGTCGTTTTGCCCTTTGTCGTATTTTACCCGTTGTCACGTCTTTTACTGTTTGTCGTTTAACCTTAGGTCGTTTTACCCTATGCCATTTGACCCTAGATCGTTTGACCCCATGTCGATTAATCCAAAAAAGTATATTATTGTTTATTTAATCATATTTTTTTTATAAAATCCACGATTTTTTGTTTTGTTTTGCAATTTATACAAAGAGAAAATGTTTACAAATGAAATAGAAGTTGGGCGCAAATCCAATCTGATAATGTTTAATGTTAGTAGTCGAAATATCAGAACAGAATATGTTTTTTACTTTTTCATTGTTTCATTATTATAATTATACCGTATGCAAAAATATGTTTAATGCCAAAACGCTTAATTTGCTTCAGAAATGTGACATGCTCTATAAAATGAAAACATTAACCATCAAATATTGAAATTTATTTATTTCTAGGGGTTTAGTATTTAATTTTTTTTATAAAAATGTAGCCTTAGCTAATCTAAATTAAAGTATAGACCTTTAAAAAAGATAATACTCAGTGTCAGGTCTGGGCCAAATCACGGTTTGGAACTTTCTTCCCCTGTAATAACACTCCCTGTATTTAATAATACTGAATAAATCTTGCTGTATATTCTCATACCTGATAACTCTCCCTGTAGATTCTAACGCTAGATTATTCTACCTGTATATTCTGATGCTAAATAACTCTCCCTGTAAATTCTAATATTCTGAATAACTCTCCCTGTAAACTCTAATATTCTGAATAACTCTCCCTACCGCTGCCACCACGATAGTGTGGAAGCAGCTCACCTGCTTGTCTTTCTCTTCGGGGAATCCACTCTGTATGTATGGAAGGAGAGAACGCGGGTAGCAAACAACTAGATGGTTACATAGCCTGACGGTTCTTCATTCTTTCTGTAACAGCAGAGCTTCCAGATATTTGACCTCTGGGGTGTACAAGACATATTGATAAAGTAAGACAGTACTGAAGTATTCTCTTAGGGCACTCCAGGGGTCAAACATCACTAAATGTTTTTTGCTCTGGCTGGTCACACCAAAGCTGTCAGTCGTCAGACTCCTGAATATAATAAATATCAGTAGTCAGTATATATATTTTCGTTGTATATTCTAATGCTGAATAACTCTCCCTGTATATTCTAATGCCTTATACCTCTCCCTGTATTACAGCAAAGTTTAAAGTGTGGAAGAATGAGAGTGCTGAAGAAACTAAAGGATATTTATCAGGGAAATCATCAAACTAAAATAAAACACTTTCATTGTTTGTACAGTGTACACTGTATACTGTACACTGTAGGGAAATCATCAAACTAAAATAAAACACTTTCATTGTTTGTACAGTGTACACTGTATACTGTACACTGTACAGTGTATACTGTATACTGTACACTGTACTAGCTACAGGGTGTCCCAATAAACATGGGAATTCAGTGACGAATTCGATATTTTCTTATAAATAATTCTTTGATTTAGTATAGTGATTCCTTCTGAGAAAGCAGTAATATGTAAGAGTATCGTCTGCTATGTTTACATTTCGTTTGTTTATGGGTTGACTGCATACTGTTGTACTTATGTAAAATAAGAAAATTGCAGTATACAAACAGAGTAAACTTGTCCGTCTTCACTGTTCATCTTGCGGAGACATTATAGACACATTAATTTTCAGTCTTTTACCTTTTTTCATAAAATTAATTCTAGCAGATATAATAATATTATGGGTTTTGAAATTAGGTATTACAATTCTAATTCTTAACAAAGACGATATCCAATTCGTCACTGAATTCCCATGTTTTTTGGGACACCCTGTATAGTACTGTCAGAAAATATTTTATAACTAAATTGATGTTTTTGATCTTTTTCCTCTGACCTCTACGCACTGCATTATTTAAAAACCAAAAAAAAACTTTTTAATGGATTCTTTTTTTTTGCTTAAACAAGTAATTTAAAACTTTTCTTTATTTCATCCCAAGTTTGATATTTGGTTTAGTTCTCCGACCTACTCGAGACTCCGGATACGGAGCCCCTCCTCCGGAGGAGAACTGCTACGTAGAGACTCCGTGTACCAGGTTAGGTTTTATCTACACTCTGAATTTCGAAATTAGAAAAAATGCTTATATTCAATAGAAAATCTTATATTTTAGTTAAACAAAAGCGATTTTTTTATTTCGAAATTAAGAGTGTACAACACATAAAACATGAAGATGGGAGGAAAAATATTTTAATATTTACAAACCAGAGGTCGGAAATTTGGTGTGGATTTAAAAATTTAAGAAAAAAGCTTAATATTGTATATTTCACCATCAATCAGGGCTTGATCCCGAGATTCACTGCATACAGGTTCTCACTTATATTCATGTTGAAATTAACTCACGTTTTTAAATATGTATTTTATTTGTATATAATATGTACATATTAGAACCATCTAAAATTATCGCTGATTTTGATGTTTTCAATGTATAATTTATGTGAGAATTTTATCTGAATTTTAAAATGTCTAATATAGGAGCTGCGGAGATGGGTTTAAGCTTCTCCTTCCTAACCCTGATGCTCTAACCTGCTACGGAGCTGCTCTGCAGGTCTTTCCGTGTAATGATGGTCCTTGCCCGGTCCACTGTACCTGGGGACACTGGACCCCTTGGTCAACCTGTCAACTCAGGCAGGGTAGGTCCAGGGTCCGGAGGGATGGACCTGGAGGTCACGGACATCATCATCCTCATGGACATGATCATGCTCCTCATGCTCATGATCAGCCTCAGCTTTCCAACCAATTCATTAGTCTATTAGGTCATCAACAAGCTCCTGCTGTTCCACCCCCCTTCAGCTCCTCACCCCTTGCACCAGCTTCAGGGGGGTATAATCCACCAGTTCCTAGCGCAGGAGGATATGGTGCACCAATTCCTGAGTATGGTGCACCTCCACCACTGCCGATCTATGGTGCAGATTCTGGGTTCCCGGTGTGTACTCAAGATCGAACTCGGTACAAGCAACGTCCAGCGTTGAATGGCGGAGATGAATGCTGGGGGGAGGCGGCGGAGGAAAGATTTTGTCAATCTCAACAATGTCAAGGTTAGTTTCAGGTTTAGTTTGAATTATTTGGAATAAATAAAAATGAGAGTTAAGTATCAAAGTTTGAAAAATTTTTAACATGCTTATGTTAAGGACCTCCTGGTCCACCTGGACTACCCGGGAACGATGGACAACCAGGCAGGAACGGATCCCCTGGAACACCTGGAACTCCAGGTATAAGAGGACCACCTGGAAATGATGGATCTCCGGGTAATCCAGGATATCCAGGAAAAGACGGCAAGGACGGTCTTCCAGGGAACCCTGGACCACAGGGTCCTGCGGGTAAGGACGGGAAGAACGGACAGCCAGGACAACAAGGACTACCTGGACCACAAGGTCCTCCTGGAGCTGCTGGTCCTAGAGGACGGTTTGGCGACAAGGGTCCACCGGGACCCACAGGACCAGTAGGACAAACTGGACCTCAAGGTAAGGATGGCAGCAATGGTGCTCCTGGACCAGCTGGACCTCCAGGACTAGACGGAGCTCCAGGAGTTGTTGGACCTATGGGACCTGTAGGACCTCAAGGGGTCCAAGGAGAGACTGGCGCACCGGGACCTAGAGGACTTCCAGGACCTAAAGGAGAGGCAATAGAGGCTCCTGCGAGCTATGGAGCTCCGGAACTCCCAGTTTATGAGCCTGCACCTCCAGTTTATGTGCAACCTATTCAAAACAACTATGGACCACCCCAACTTAATCAGCAACAGCATCATCCACAACAACAACATCATTTACAGCAACAGCATCACTCACATCAAAAGTTCTTCCGATTATATCTGATGCATTTTCCTCGACAGGAAGTCAACATTCGTTTAAACAAGTAACACCAGATGAATATACAAGTCTGCGGGGAAGTTTTGAGCCTGAGATCGGGCCGATGAATTGGGATCAAAATTCTGGGATTGAATCTCAAAATCTGGCTGAGTTTGGAGCTAAGAAGTTTAGTAAACTTGAAGATATTGTGGTTGAAACTGCTCCTATCAAACAGGTAGATTTTAAGATTTAAAGAGACTGTAGACGTAATTTCAAGAGACTCTTCATTTATAGAGGGGGACGTCCGATTTATAACGATACCCTTACAAACTTTATTTTATTTTATCTCTTTAAAACTGAAAATTTTTAATTCTCTATAAAAGTAAAATGCTCATTTCTACTGCATAAATAAAGGAGGTAACATAGAATAACAACAATGCGTACAATCCCTTTAATTTTTTTTTATATTCAATTAATAATATTAAGTTAAAGCTTTTTCCTTTATTTTTATTGAATATGCGTTTTAGCTAAATTCTTAGAAATTGCTTGACATTTAGTCAAAGTTCCAGCAAGAAAATTATATCAAATTTCACAGTTATTCAAAGGTTGCAAGCTCTCACACTTTCACTGCATATATTTTTTTAATATTAAAAGAACATCGTTATAACAACGTTATAACAACGTTATAACAATGTTATAACAACGTTAAAACATGTATTTAAATTTTCGATTGAATATGATTAGCATGAATAACTGCCAGAAAATTTACAACTTCAATTTGCTTGATAATGAAATCATTATTATATGTATTATTAACTTGTCTATCATTAAAAGCGTGGATGTATTAGCATAAATGTAAATTAGATCAATATCTTCTTTATATATAAATAAAGTAGTAATCTCTTCTTGTTTGTTTGAAAAATGAAGAGCTTTGAATTGAAAGTTTATATATCGATTAATTTGAAAATGAAGTAAAGTTGAAATAATCATTGTGTTTACTTAATGAATTAATTTAATTTAAGTTGAAGTAATGTTTTGTTCACTTGATGAATTACTTTATTTATTAAAGTTGAAATAATGTTTTGTTCACTTGATTAATTACCTTGTTAAAGTTAAAATAATGTTTTGTTCACTTGATGAATTACTTTATTGAAGCTGAAAAAATGTTTTGTTCATTTTATAAAATATATTATGACTGAATCTATCATTTGTTTACAACTGTTATGTGCAAAACAAAGGTTTATCAATTAATCTTCGAAAAAGTATGGCACATCAATAAAAATGGGATATTTCAAAAATCTATAAGAATGCATGTCTCAATTGATTGGGCCCTCTCCCATTCTTGCAAACCTTCAGTGTAAAAATACCGTAATATGTAATATGTTTATTAGTAATATTAAACTTTTTAGGAAATTCTTGAAAGTAATTCTTTGAAAAAGGTGAATAAGAAGCAAGTGGAAGACGACATTCGAGCCCAAATTCTGAACATTGAAAATGCGCCAGAATTTTCGCATGAGAAACGAGCACGTGGATCAATTCCGTTCCATATTCCCAGACCGAAGGGTGCACCACCCTCAAGCATTCATAGGTAGGACTTTTTGCAAATTTGGATTTCCTAAAGTGTTAATATTAAAAAAAGGTTTATTTTATTTTGTTTTTGTCCTATCTACACTCGATAACTACACGACAAACATCTATAAAGATACATTTTGAAATATTAATCTTTTGATTTGATTTCATGATATTGTACAAAATTTCGACTAAAAGTGAAATCAATTGTTGAATAAAAAAAACGATTTAAAAATTCAATTAAAGTTTTGTTTCCTATTTGTAATATTAACATTTTTCAGGAAGAAAGTGGGGAAACCATATCCAACCCGATTCAAGGAAAATTTAAATCAAAATTAAAAACCAAATATAGGAATTTATTAAATAAATCTATTATTTAGATTTATACAAAAATGTTGATTTATTAGAAATGATTTCAATTTTAGCAGGGAGAAAAGGATACCACAGAAAAAGTCTGAGAAACGAATCCTATCACATTAATCTTCAAGATTAATTTTGGGCATTTTTAGTTTTTGTTACTTATAGATTGTTATCGTTTTTTATTCAACATATTGAAAGTTTTCAACATCTGTTATTTATGTTTTTAAAAAAGAATTATCAAGAGCTTTTAATAATCTGACCAAACATATTGTGATTTAACGAGGAAGTAAGTTTTTATCGATAATATTTTTAAATCGTTTTTTGCTCTTTGTAAACATTCTAGGACTAACTGCGGTTTTCTTACCCTGGCCTGGATTATTTAGAAGTGTGATTTATTATGAATTCTCCCGACCATGAAACAAATGTCGGAAAAGTGCACCAACTACTAATTCGTTTTTGCATCAATGAATATAAGTATCATCAAACTTTTTATAAAATACGGAATTAAAAAGACAAATAAATGTACTTTATTTAATTAAACTTCAGTACGTTATTTCATCCACCCTTCCGCCTAATGAGTTTAAATATCCGCGTGTACAATGGCGGCCATCTTGAATTTAATGCCCCGGTAAATTATCAAGAAAAAGGGAGGTTTTCCAATTTATTCTAAAATAAATTCAAGGTTCAGGATCTATCTAGTCATTTTACATCTATAGTCAATTTAAACTGTTTTACTAATGGATTTATTTTGTTTATTTATCTTGTTATGTAGTTACACCATGTTTTGTTAATTTTCAAATACATTTTATTTAAACATTGATTGTTTTATTGGTAAAACTTTATTTCTGCAGGAATCTCTAGCTATAACTATAGCTTAGGTACTGCAGATTTGGGTCAAGTCAAATTAAAATCTAATATTTAAAAGAATTATTGAAAAGAGTAACGTTTTAAATTTCTAGTACATAAGTTGAAACTAAATAAATTTGCTTTACTCTTGCTTTCTGATTATTCAATTTTCATGCTTATTTTTGTTTACGGGAGATCATTAATTACTAATATTGTAATTGATCATTCTTGGTGAGAGGTTTATTCTTGTTGAGTTTATGTAAAACGTACAACAAAAAAAACATGATAAAAAATACCAGATAACAATAACATACGACTTGGGGATCACATGTCAAATAAAAATAATACAATGGTTTTTAATTTTGGAGAGAGACCGGGGTTACCCAGACAATGCTTGGAATTCCCTCAAGAAGATCAGACAGCTCCAAGCAACCATTATCATGAATCCTACACAACAAGAAAAATTAGCAAAATTATTTTTTTGGACTAGATTTTTTTCCAATGTTGAAAAAGCAAATGTTTTACTAGACACTAATTAAATCACTAATTTAGTTAAAAGGGTCTGTTTACTCTGCTTGATTGATGATGAATATGTACCTGCTGAATGAAACGATCAGCTGATCAGCTGATCGTGATTTATCCTTACCTGAATACAACTATCATATCTGAAGCATGGTTTCCGACCAGTAGAAACCGACCAGTTACATCAAAATTAAAATGTCGAGGGAAAGCTCCTAAACTTGAATGTATTGTCACCAAGGACAAACTTCCGTTCTCAGGACTCACTCTAAAACAAACAGTTTTTTAGTTTTTCTGCAAAATTAAAAGACATTTTTGAACGAGGTTTTTAACACAAGGGAAAATTCGAGGAGTTTTAAATCATATTTAATAAAGAATCGAATAAAAGATTTCCACCTGTAAACTGCGATAGAATTATTTCCTCGGTTTGCAACAAAAAGAAATCCCCCGGAAGGATGAAGACGCATCTCAGCTATTGTAGATTTAGAACCCAGGTCCTTGGGAACAGTACTAATAACCTAAATAAGAAAACTTTCTATTTTTGGAGAATTAAGTTTTAAAGATGGGATCAAGAGTTTAAAATTAAATTGATTTAATTTTGAAACATCTAATTCTGTTTTTTCCCCATTACGTAAATTTGATGTAAACTTTATCAAGGAAAAATACTGAAATGGTCTGTTAAAACTCTAATTGTTATACAACTTGACGTTGGCAATATACATGCACTTGTTCATAAACATTTGAAATCATACATTCAAAATTGAATAAAAACACTGCTATCTATGGTAATAATAGTATTATATAGATCTCATTATTTTATTCTAATTCAGTTATGATTGAGTATTAAAAGAATAATCTAGACAAATAATATTGCAGATGATATTTGCTGAAATTTCTTTAATGTTAGCTTGGGAACGCTGCTTTGCCTCAATATGAATATGTGAATATACTCAAGTTGAAACCAAGCTAAGAACATTCCCTTGGTCCTCTGCAGTTCCCCAATCTAAATTTTATTATATTCTGTCCCGGGGTTCTTAAGTTCTGATCAGAAACACAAACAAAGCTTACTTGTATTTTTGATAGTAGAGAGTTTCCTTCGGAAACATGACCAGAGAAATCTCCTTTCAGGACATCTTCAACCTTGGTAGGATTGTACCTAGAAAAAACTACATTTAAAAAATGTGTTAATCGTTAAAGGGACTTTCAATTGTGACTAACCACCAATAAAAAGATTACAATGCCCGGTTTACAACGATTTCCTTGAAAGCTTTATCTGATCAAATAAAAAATGTGGAAGCTATTGTTGTATTTCTAGGTTTAGAAGTGTCTAATTCTAATAACTACAACACGTTTCCCTGTAGTAGAAATGTGCAAGTTACTTTCGTAGTGAAACCACAGTTGACAATAATCAATTTTCAAAATTATAAACATTGATATCTAATTCATACTTGACAATTTTTTAAAAAGCACTCTTGTGTATATGGCATTGCTCTTTTGAAGGATTATTTGAAATTACCCCTGTATAGTCTCTTAAACTATACTTTTTAACCTTTTTTTAGTATCATTCAATGAAGATTTCAATTAGTTTTTTCGTAGAATTAAGAAAACTTTTTAACTTTTGGATTTTAGACACTGATAGTTTGGTCACATTTGTCATATTTTCCAAATCAAAATTGTCATTCATAGCAGAAAAAAAGTTGAAGCAGCGTACTGAATTAAAGAATTTTGAATAAAAAGACCATGTTGAAAAATGTTGAAAAATGTTAAAAATTTTTGAAAAATGTTGAAAAATTTTGAAAATTTTTGAAAATTTTTGAAAAATATTGAAAAATTTAGAAAAATTTTAAAAAATGGTGAAAAATGTTGAAAAATTTATACATACTTTAGTACAGTAACAGTATTGTTTAATTCTCCACAGATATAAACAACTTGATGCTTGATATTAAACTCCATGTGCCTGGGTCCCCGACCCCTAGTTTATATTTTATCTTTATTTAAGGTTTTGTAAAAACAAAGTTTATATAGTTTTGAAAAAAGATGCATTTGTATGTCAATTGACGAACACTTTCAGAAAGCTCGGGGCCTCGAATTCAATGATTTTAAACTGCCTATCGCCGGTTCTAATTTGATGTACCGACTCAAACTCTTCCTTGATCTTTCACCTTTGGTGGCTCAAATTAAAACCGGTCCCCGAAAATATAAAATTATTTGTTTCTAAAAAAAAATAGTCAAAACTTTTTCAGAAACATAATCTTCTCTTTTGTATTTTAATTTTAATGTTCTGAACATTTTTTTGAAAAGATAAATATTTTCCTTGTGATCTGATCTTCTCCTAGATGTTTTATACATCCTGCCTTTATGCTGAAGTAGTGAACCTAAACATTACAATTACAAGTTACAACTAATTACATGTATATTATGTAATAACACTTACAACTAATTACACATACAATTAATTACACGTACAACTAATTACATACAACTAATTACACATACAACTAATTCCACTTACAACTAATTACATGTACAACTAATTACACGTACAACTAATTACACGTACAACTAATTACAATTACAACTAATTGCACGTAAACTAATTACCATGCAACTAATTACACGTACAACTAATTAAACATGCAACTATTTACACGTACAACTAATTACACGTACAACTAATTAAAATATTGTAAATAACAACATTTTATCTTGATTTACTTTTAGAAAACACACAGCGATCCTTAGTTTTTTTTTTTTATAAAAACTCATTGATGACTATTGTTTTACACAAAACACTGTTTTTCTTTTTTTGTTTGTTTTTGGAACACCCTGTAGTGATAAACAATTTGTTTAATGATTTACTCTATGATCCCTAATTTGTTTTATAAAACATTCTGGGATCCTTATTTTTTTCTAAAACACCCTAGTTTCCATATTTGTTATACAAAATATAAAGGGATCCCTAATTTTAATTACCTGATCCCTTCCTAGATCTGGAACAAGGAATATTTTACCGCTGAATGGATCAAGATTAACCTAACAAGGGATCAAATGTAATGAACAAAAATGAAATAGTTATATCCAAGGTTTAATAAAAATCAAGCTAAAGTGAATTTAATTCATTAAAGAAGCAGAACGGTGCCAGTATTTCCTCATCATTTTATCATTGTTCCAATGATTTAAGAAACGGGTTAATATAAATTATTGTGTAATGAAATCAATAAATTGTATAAATTATTTAAAAAATAATCATGAACCGTGTCCTGAAGATATTCTGCATTGTACTGTACCTGATGAAGATGAGGCCAACGTTGTCTATGTGCTAGATGTTCTTCTCTATCAGGATGTTTACTATCAACATACCAGGCTCCAGGATCAGAGTAAACCTAATAAACAAACTCAAAACTTAAACTTTCTTATTCCTTTATATTTGTAACCTGATGGTGTAAACCATCGAAATTTGAAACGTTAGCGTTTGATCTGGCAGAGTTTATAGTTTGAAAAAGCGAAGGTCTACGCTAGAAAAAATGTTCTCTTGCCTAATAAGAGATCACAAAAATACGAGTTAGCGGTTTTTTTTTACAGATTAAGCACTAAATCATTTCAACGGAAAATTTACTGCACGTGTAGATTTGTGCAGTTCCGACCTCTAGATACAATCAATCTCAATCCTTTTTAGTTATAAGTCTATTACTGCGTTCGAGGAAAGAAGAAAAAATATTTTTAACATGATCTTATTAAACTCAATTCCATCAGAATGAAGGAAAAAATGCCTAATTTGTATGTAAAGAATGAAAACCTGGAATGCATCTTCCAAAGATCCATCTTCGCTGACCGCGAAGGTAGTTAGCTTGCTGTCCCAGTAGCTGACCGCAATCAAATGTTTGTAGCCGGAATCCCACTCCAGGTGACATGTTGACCGACCGTGGACCTTCTTCCTGTCTATGACCGTAACCTGACCGGTAGAACGGTTCAGTGCTCCGGTCAGTACCTCACTACCTGGATAATTTAAGAGAATATATAAAACATAATGGTCTACTAAATAAAAAGAAATTCCAAGCAATTATAAATGGAATAATGAAACCTCTGGAATATAATTATAAAGGTAGAATGAAATTCTTCTTAAGAATTTTCAAGCAAGTTTTCCAAACCCACTTTCATGTTTAACTTCATCTTTTAAATATTCAGTTTTAAAGCTTAAAGCACATATTATTTTGTTATCTAAATGTTCATGTTTTTCGTAAAATTATAATTTAAACATTATTAATTTCAGGAGTTGTTAATACATGTTTATTTTTTAACCGTCTTCCCGAGTTAATATATTTGTTTTCAAATGTGTGTAAATATTGTTAATTATGAAAAATAGATAAATATTATTTATCACCTGAATCATTTATAACCTCTGTCGTCATATAAACAAGATCAAGGGCTGGATGCTTCATTATAAACGCAGGATTTGGCTCAATCTAAATAATTACAAAGGAGTTGAGTCTTTGCCACAAAATCAAATTTTCTAATCCGTATATCTCTGAACCTGATGGAGTAAACCTTTGATATCTCAAAAAAATTGTTTGAATTCATAGTTTGAAATAACTAAGGTCTACGACATTGGGTTGCAAAGACATTTAAATTAGAAAATTTGTTACAAAGACTCAATTGCTTTATTCTTGGAAATTCTGTAATAATATAGATTGAGAAATGTTTAGGTGAAATCAGCATCCAGGGGGTAATTTTAAGGAAACTCTTTAGAATACATGAAATATGTAAACCTGAAAGGTATCAAAAATATTTAAAT